CTCAGACCAAAACTCACGCAAAAGAGATTAAAGAGAGAGAGAGAGAGAGAGAGAGAGAGAGAGAGAGAGAGAGAGGTAATGCATATTATTTGGCAACAAAAAAGGCAATACAAATGGCAGGGATGGGCTGTGATGTCGACCCTGGAGTCTATTGCAATGCAAACGACCAGTTAATTAGGTTTGGGTGCTCTCGGGTGAGGAGAAACACAGCCCCTCTTCGCTGTTGAGTCCATTGAAAGAGAAAATAAAGAAAAAAATAATTTGAATATAAAGTAGAGGAACAGTGGGTCAGAGGGTATGAGCCGCTCATTAAAAGGCACCCAAAAAAATTGTGAATATTTCATATGTTATGGGAAAACAAGTCTAATGTATAGCAAAACCTATGGAATGTCTTATTCGTGTCTCTCTCTCTCTTTCTCTCTCTCTCTCATGAGATTAAAAGTACTTTTGAATTGATTGGAAATAACAAAAATGTTAATATTAATTGACATGTATAGGAAAAGTGACACAACCTTAATGAAACAGAAAGTAGTATCAATGGTTTGCAAACTTATCGATATGTTTTAAATAATTGTTTAAACTCAACATGCTCATTATCAATGTTTAACAATGATTAATTTTAGTTTTGTTGCCAACATTATAGATGTTTGAATTAAGTAATTGTTTTTAAAATCACATTTTCATCCATAAAATTGTATTGTTTGACAAATGATAATAAAAAACTACTGAAAAAATTATAGACAAAAATATTTTACCTACATTTTAGTTACAATGACTTTCTTAATCACAATAGATATTTAAAATGTAAAATTAGGTGATTTCACAATAGGTATGAATTCAAGTGCTGGTGATTCACAAAAGTATATCCGCTTTTAAACATAATTAACATTATATTTCATTAACATTTTTAACATGCAATCAATAACGAAATTAAAGCTTTACTAATCATTGAATTATAATTAATAAATACTCGCTTTAATAGTATTTATTAAGTTTTAAATATATTTTAAATGGTATATAAATTTAATTTTTAGCCGAAACCAGAATTGAATGAAACAAAATAATATATTCCCTAATCTTTACCACAATTCAAATTATTATTTCATTTAATATTAATATTATTATTATTATAGCATTAATATTAAGCATAATATTAAGGTCTGTGTGTTATATAAGAGGGCATTAAAAATAGATTTTTCCTAAATTGAAAATAAATTTAAAGGATGATTGATATGACAGCTATTTATGGGATAATTATTTATTTGCGGGCTTTTTATCCATAATAAAAGGTGACACAAGACTTATATACATATGCCGTGAATATATATCCCCAATGGTATGAATGGATAAATTAAATGCTTATTATCTGTATATAAATTAAACGGATTTTTGTGTTTTTGTGGTTTGCGGGCCAACAATAGGCTCCTATGGATAGGATGTTTGAATATATAGGGTATGAAATGTGCGGTTTGTATAGCAAAATGTTAGGTGTTTTTTGTCTTTCATTAGGTTTTATGGCAAACATTTTTTTTGTACAATGAATGAAACGGCAGATGAAAACAGTTGCTGATCTGTAATAACTAATTGGACGGTCGTATCGGTCGGTGGGCCACCAATTTATCATATGATTGCCATTGAAATAAAGGCCAGTCGTCTTGTTTTGTGGCTAAACCCCTGATTAC